TAGAAAAAAAATTGGGGTGCCCGTGCTCGTTGGTGAGCCAGAGCCATTTTTCAACTGACAGAGCTCAATATCAGGGCAAATCCGCCATGTTTTCAATGTGCGCGTGCACGAACGCGCACTAATGACGCCATAAATTATGCGCAGTAAGGATGCGCAATGCAAATGTGAGGAATCACGTTAATGGGGCGAGAGATGTTCAGTAAAAATGAAAATACAATAAGTGCTGCAGTAATGTGGCAAAAATGGTTGTAAAGAAAAAGGGTAAATTCCTTTATGCCGGTATTGCAACCAAAACAATTCACTTTAGCTAGTGTAAGAGACTAAAAGTAAATGGTCTATTGGAGTCTCCGCAGACCATCCTACCACATGTGTCGCAGCTTCTGGCACAATGCTTGCTCATAAACTTGACATATTTCTTACAATCCCCTTCTGCCTTCCATTTTGAACACGACACGTAGTCATCCTGGCAAGCTAGGGAAATAAAGTTTAAAAAAGACAAATTATAATTGCTACGTCCACTCCCAACCCGCGTGATAGCCATACTTATAAAGTAAATAAATGGAAACATGCTAATAGAATAATTGCCACACGCATGTATTTCAGCCCATGTATTTCCTTCCCATTACATGGAAATTACTACCTTCCATATGAACATGGCACAGTTCAAGAAGAAGTACATAAGCAATCGAGTCCTCTAGACCTGGTTATTAAAAGGGTCACGCAAATTATCTTGAAACCTTTGAGCACTGTCCGTCCAAGAGGGGGAAGTCAAGGCGGGGGGGTACATCCATAGAATATTTGACATTTTAGCGGAAAGTATGTTGTTTTAGCTCTTTCCTCGACTACCCGTAATAAAAATATGGTAGTCATAAACGTCTGAATATCTGGTATCTTTCGTCATCATGTTGTCATGCTTATCATTATTAAAAACTGGATCATTGAATAATGAAATTCGAGAGCTTTCATTGGCTAAACCAGCATGAGTCATGAGCAGTATACCATGCTCTACAAATATGCGAGCGTACGCGTGATTTTTTATCTTTATTTTAGTTTAGTTTCTATATTTTGGAGGTGTTTTTATCTTTATTTTAGTTTAGTTTCTCTATTTTGGGGGCGTTTTTAATAAAACAATTATTCCACTCGTACTTGTTGGATATGAGATGATTATAGCCAATGAATGAGTTGCCAGTAATCGGATACCCGTGTTTGCGAAAAGAACTCTGGGATCGTCAGGGAGCAAACATTGCAAGTCCCTAGAAGGAAATGTATGGCGAAAAGCTGTTTCGACGCCCAAAAACATTGTTTTGGGGAGAGATCAACGCTTTTTCGCCTTTGTTTTATCGCAAATGGATTTTGGCAATGTTGATACATGGAAAATGTAAGT